ATAAATACCAGACAAATGTTTACAGGTATTCATTTACCACAAATGATATTGGAAATATAACGCTATATCTACGAACTGCACTGTAATGCACTGCATGAGAAGTGAATGCAGTTTTTATTATAAATTCGCTTCCCAATCGACTGTCCCCCCTCCCCACCAACAGCACTTAAAGTATTAATTTGTGAAACACACAGAAAAAAGAGAGATGTGTGTTCACGAAATTGCAGATGCCACACATACAACATTTAAGCATGGCATGGCATGCCACATTTAAAGTGCAGGTTATTTGGTTTATCGCTCTTGCGTTGATTGTACGATATTTTCATTTTTGCCAGTCGTCCGTCCTGGAGGCAATTTCAAATTGTTTATCAGCCTGCAGTCATCATACTTATTTACGTGGGAATGCGTATATATTTTTATATATTTTCGTGCATTTTTCATTTCCCATTTAATGAAGGCGTTGAAATGTTCACAACCAAATGGTTTACACTTCAGATAGCGGCAAAAATCTGGCAATAAAAACATTGTTTTTGCAAATATGCAAATGTGCCATGGGGGATATTGAGCAGAGTTCAATATTTGTGCAGCATATTGGATAAAGTTTGGGAAAACAGCCACATATTGCGCAGTTCTCCAAAAGTTCGTCGCTCCCTGCAAAGTTTTGATGCGACTTACAAAACTAATCTGTTTATAAATTTTTCGTAATTATCAGCAATCGATTTGTTTACAATCTGCATTAAGACCCCGCCACAATCACTCCTGATTGATGTGAGTGATTGCAGGCACTGCAATGTATTAAATGTGATAAGCAAATGGAGATTTACTCGTACTAAATTGCATGTGTAAGGGTTAACCTTTTAGGGTGTCCTCAAATGGATTCAATTTTCCTTAACCTTCACGTGGCATCTGCTGACAAAGTCAAAATCAGTTAAACAATAAATTGAGCAATTCAATTTGCAGCCTTTTTGGCAATTTCCGTTCATAAATTAAAGCGAATAAGAATGCCAGAACAATAGTTACGACTAAGGGATACCTCTAATTTCTTTTGCTTTCATTTCTTGGCTTCATTTTTCTTCCTAATATAATAGTCCGATCGTTACAATTTCTAATTTCAATTTCTAGTAAATATTATTGTATGGCTCCACTATCTGCTTCCAATCATATCGACATAATCCTAGCACAAACTACAAAGCTTAGTGTACATATCTCCACCTGAAAGAATATACCCTTGTGCTCCCACAAATACCCCTCATAAATATCAGTGCCAGAGAGTGAGAGGGAGAGAGAGAGAGAGAGTGTGTGTGGGAGAAAAAGAGTGGGACAGAGGGACAGCTGGAGTGCGAGCCAGAGCGGAGGGAACTGATTTTCAGGCAGAAACGTGAATAATTTGCAAAGAGAATCTTTGTAGCACTTAAAGCATTGATTGGCGTCACATTTATGGCACTTTTCTGATTGAGGGACATTTGTATACCGATCCCGAACCCAAAACTAGGAATCCAATGTGTTATAAACCACAAAGTTTATGCAACAAACAAATAAAATCTTATCGACCATTTATTTTACAACTTGTTTGATTAAAGCCTTCGGAGCGCGAAAGAGTGGTGGTAGCGGGGGAGAGAGAGAGAGCGAGAGTGAGTCACTGTTCCGCCAACAACAATGCCAATTCGACAACGTGGCACCGGTGGCAGTGGCAGCGGTGTCAGCGGCGCTTAAACAAATTGAAAGTCGGCTATTTCTTGAATTCAATGAGCATTTTGGTTGAAGCCGAGCGCCCAATAAGTGAAAAGACGCTTACGTAGCCTCCAACTTGAAACTCATTACGTCATCTGGATGAGAGAGTAGCCCACGCGAGAGAGAGATGGAGAGAGCGTGGCGGATAGCTAGTAGTTCTGATAAGAAAAACATACTTTTGCGGTAAAATAAATGCACAAGAAAAAACAGAAAAGCAAAAACAGCAGCAACAACAAAGGCTGACACGCGACACAGACGAACGATAAAGAGAGAGGGAGAGAGAGGCGGGAGCACAAAATCGATTTGTCACAAAGAATTTTGCGGCTTGCTTCTGTCATTTAAATATTTAAACACAAACACTTTTGCATAAATTATGTACTGAAAGTTATACTCACAATTCTTTGATCTGCATTTTTTCCAATTTTTTATTTCACTTTTCGAAAAAACGCTGAGAGGGAGGAAGAGGGAGAAAGAGAGCACAGAAATATATTAAATTTGCATTTCTCTGTTTTCCATAGATTTTTGTATAAACTATATATAGATGCACTTGCACTTAAAGAGCAGCAGCAACCTTCAAACACGCATTTTATTCTATATTTAATTTATTTTAGCAACAAAACGGTTGTCAGCGAGGGGTACACATCAAAAGGGGGGCGCACAGCGGGCTGTCACACAAGAGGGGTTCTCTTTTGTTTGGCTGCCAAATAACTGCAACATTTACTTTTCATTCACTTTTTAATACAATTTAATTGAGCGGCGTTTTAGTCTCATTTAATTTGCTTTTTTCTTAATTTTTTTTTATGGATTGTCGGCTAAAAAACACGAGTCATATGCCCCCACACGCACACACACACACACTCTGACACACATCACGCACGCACACAAACCAAATGGTTTTGCGGCAAATTGTATTCTTCAATGTGCAGACATACAATTTTTTAGTTTAGATACCGTGTTTGCCTAATCGCCGGAAAAACGTTGCGCGTCCGTACTATTAGTTATATATTTTTGTTGTTAGGGGATCTTATCTATTAGTTATATTAGAGGTGTCAAACCATCGAGGGCACTATCGATAGTATCGATATTTTACTGCTAGCCTCTACTATCGACGGTTTTGCGACAATCATGATAGTATCGAGCTACAGTCGTTGCGCTTTTGATATGTTTGGATTGGCTGCTATAAAATAGGAAGACAAATTTAAAAACAAATCGACAGGTGGCATGAAGTTTTTTAAAATGGACAAATTCCTAAAAGGATTCAATGGTTTTTTAATAATTATTTGAACCCGATACTATCACGATAGTATCGACTGTTTTTTTCAAAACATTCAACATTGATATTCCTCGATTTTGATATTCCGTTTAATATTACTAGCTAGCTGGGACTCTCAGCCCTAAACAAATAATTTTATCCGATAGATACATAAATTTTCTACAATATTGGCAAGCTTTCAGAAGCCCTTTTTATTGGATTACTTACATATTAAGGTTCAAACTAAAACAACATAAAACGAATGTGACGTCGTTTTGTGGCGTTGCCAGACTCGTGCAATTCGTAGTTGCTGCGGGCTGCCATACCATGATATTTTTTTATGTGAAATTCTTCAATTTTGATATTCAGTTTAATATTACTAGCTAGTTGGCCCTCTCAGCCCTAAAAATATTATTTTTTCCAATTCCTCAATGAATTTTTTTTAGGATTGGCTAGTTTTCAAACCTATTTTTAATGGGATTGGTTAGTTAATAGGGTTCAAACAAAAACGGCCAAAGCATAAAACGTAAATGTTGACTAAATGTAACGTCATTGTTGCTGGTCAACCAAGTTTCTTCTAGGCGTATGGACTTTGGTATACCTTATTTCCTTAAATTGATGTTAAATTTGTTGTTTCAGGCTGCTTTGAAACATTAATATTGCATTTTCGTAAGATTGAGTTATTTTTTACCTATATATGCATATGTTTTGTGTTTTATATATACATTTATCCCGGTTCTGATACCTATTATTGGTACCCATGAGCTACAAAATTTCGTTGATGTCTTTTAATAAGAGACTGAGTAGTTTCTGCATTACTTGGAGCCTGAAATTACAAACAATATCTCAAGTCCATAATATCCATTTTCCCAAGGTATGCAGATTGTTGCTCATTCCTTGCCAAAGTTGCACAACAATGCTGCTACAACATTTCCACATGTTGCTGAATTTTTTCCCATACAAATCAAATGTATCTTACGGGAACGCGTATGGAATGACGCAACAATGAATCTTCATTCCATACGCGATCCCTTAAGATACATGTTTCTCACACCACGAAAAGTCACCACGAAAGCGCTCTCTTCACCTCTGAAAAGAGAGCAAATTTTGAAACGCTCTCCGGACTCATTTCGCCCGCAAGGATAAGGTATGAGGTGTGACGTATGACGTCACAATATTCAGAGCTTTCAAGAAAAATACCCACCTCACCACATAATTCACCGTGCGGGATTTTGTGCTTTCTTGCAGACATGGAATATTTAGTCCGTCGGGGCTAGGGTGAGGTCCTTGCGAGGCCCTTAAAAAAAGTTCGGCCGTTTTAATACTGGGGCCATACCTTGCCATGACCCAGTCGAAAGAGAGCACTTAAAACGATCTCCGGACTCATTTCTGCGTTTAAATTGTAAGCCACTATCGAGAGTATCGATATTTTGCTGCTAGCATCTACTATCGATGGTTTTGAGACTATCATGACAGTATCGATTGTTTTTTTTTCAAAACATTCAAAACTATAGATGGCTCAACTATCAATCGTTCTAAGTTATATATGTATATTTTTTGTTGTTAGGGGAGCTACACAGGGTGACCGTAAATTCATTGGTAAAATATACCGCCGACCCTTAGAAATATACCAAAATACAACATGCAACATACTATATTCAATAGTTGAAATATCGCAAGAAAAACGGTAACACGATGATCCCAGGGCTGGTCGTTTGAAAAGGGTATCTATCCCAATTACTGCGATTCGGAATTAAATGTATGATTAATTAAATTATTTTTTTTCTATAATACAGCGAAATCGAGCGAAACTAAATAAAAACTATACATGCAATGGCTAAATTTTTAATAAAGAATGGATCTTCCGTTGTGTCGTCGTTCTGACCCTCTCCCATGTCCTCAAAGTATGGATCGAATTCAGTAGTCCCTGGAAAATCATATTTTTTATAAGGTTTCTCATCCTTATATTCCTGATATTCTGGAGTAGCTTTTGTAGGCCGCGTCACTTTCTTTTGCTTTAGAGTAGCTCTTGCTGTCCCCTTCTTTACTTTCGGACTCTCTTTTACTTTCACTTTTAGTTTTTTTGGTTTCCGAGTGGAATGAGTTGTGGTGTCCTCTTCGATTTTCGCATTCTGATTCTTTGGCATATTCCAACCTTTTTGAGGCACCGTCACTTTGTTTTGCTTCGGACCTGCTGTCGCCGTCTGTTTTTCCGGACTCTCCATCATTTTCCTTTGCTTCCCACTTGATGTAACTGTAACTTTCGTTGCTTTCGATTTTTCTGCCTCGTCGTCTGCCTCGTCTTCTTCCTCTTCTTCTTCCTCTTCCTCTTCTTCTTCCTCTTCTTCCTGATCCTCCGATTCTTCCACTTCTTTTGGGGGTTTCCTCACATACTTTTCTTTCAGACTTTCAGTCACCGTTGATTTTCTCATACTCTTTACAATTTTGTCTATATTGGGTGCATCTTTCTTTGGCTCATCTTCCAGGCTATCCGTCTCTTCATCTTGTTCATCCGTGTTCTCCGCATCATCCTCATCTTTAGAACTCTCCGTGACTGTGTCTGTATTTATGTGCGGACTCGTTTCTGTTACTGTCACTGTCACTGTATCCCGAGTCGAGTTGGAGCGAACGTTGGTCTCTTTCCCCTCTCCTTGCTCTGCATCATCAGGATCTTTCTGTTCCTGATCCTGATCCTCCTCTTTTTTGGGAATCTCTGTCGGAATTGCTGTCACCGCTTTCTGCTGTGTCCGAACGGTGCTGGTGGTGGAAGGCGGACGTAAAACCCTTCGCATAATCGTGACCCTTTTTAATGATGGAGAAAGGGCCCGCTTCTCATCATCCACCCGCATGCGAAGGACGATTTTGACGTTTCCCATGCCGGGAATCTTCTCGTCGACGTCGATGTTCTTTGCCCAGACTTTGCACGTGATTTGCACCTCCTTGTTCTGGGGCATATCCTTTAGCTTAACGCCTACCATGCGGGTTACTCCCTCCATCTTGCTGGAGGCATCGTAGTAGGGTCCCGGAATGTAGTCCATCGTGGGCGACGGACCCTTGGTCACCTTGCACGTCAGCCAGACCCGGCTCTTGCCGCCATATTTGCCGAGTACATCGGTGAGCTCGTCGGGCGCATTGGATGGCAGATCATCGATGGTCTCGTACGTATCGGGCTTGAATCCGTACACCTTGTTCATCTTGACGAAGAAGCAGGGCGTTCTCGCCTCCCCGTATCCCCAGAGCGTGTCATTGTTGCACTCGTGAAAGAACTTCTCCGCATTGTCGTGCAGGTTGCTCAGCGCCGCTTCGATGGTGTCGGCTATCGGGTAGATCTGCTTCTCCAGATGCGTGTACCACGATATTGTGGAGAGGTTGCCCGGCACAACCGAAAATCCCGGCGCTCCCTTCAGCCACTTGGGATGATCCTTGGGAATAAGCGCAAAGTTGAATATGATAAACCAAATGCCCATAAGGAACATTATCAGGAAGTACAGAAATAGGTAGAATCCAATGATTCGGAACCACGCCCAGGCAGTGCGGCCAAAAACTTGATTGTTGTCCAGATCCAAGACCCTCTTCTGCCAGGGTATATCGCGCTTCTTGCGCGTCACCTCCTCCTGGCGGAAACGCTTTCGCACTTTGTAGTGCCCCGCAGGGATCATCAGATCCTCCGGCATTGTTCAGAGTTCTCTTTTCTGCTGTGTGTGTGTTTGCCTGCTGCTTAAATTTTCCAAACAAATATAATTTATAGATATATTGATATGTAAGGCGTGTACTGTGCCTACTATCAATCAGTAATTCTTTCATTCATTCAATCATTCATCGTAGAGGTCGATTTCATCGTACAGAATGTCCAGCGGGTCAATGTGGGCCTTCGGATCCACACGGTGCACCACAAACCTCACGGTGGCATAGTCCAACGGGATATTCCTGGCCCACACCGAGCAGGTGACGTGCACATCCTTATTCGGTGGCAGATTGTGAAACTTCACCCCAATGATGCGACGATAGCCGGGCTCCTCGTGGATCACGCGCTCCGTTTCGTTTTCCGGAGTATTTGGGTCAACGTAAAAGTTCTCCTTGGTGAACAGGCCATCGGCATCGTAGAACATTTCGGGCACAAAGGACATTGTCGTCACCGCAGTCTTGTACACGAAATCGCAGGATGCCCAAATTTTATTCGCACGCCGCTCGGGCGCCATCTCCATCAGATAGTAGCGCAAAGCCGTGGGCACCGCATCGGGCAGGGAGCGACGTTCGTGGTAGGTGCTGGCCTCAAAGTTGAGGGCCTGGTTGAGCTTCAGTAGGACGCAGGGATTGTTCGAGAGATATCCGTAGGCGTGATCCAAACTGCATTCCCTCAGCCGGTGCTCGGCCCGATAGCCGTACTTGCCCACGAGACGCCTAATCTGGTTTTGGAGCCTGTTCGATGACTGCTCCCCAATCTCACCCCACATGATGAGCTTCTTCAGGCCCACATTGCGACCCAGAGGGGCTACGGTAAGGCTGGGTGGCTTCAGAATGGAGGGCTGCTCGGCATCCATTCGAAACTGCTCCAGAATTATCCAGTAAATGAAAACAAAAATGCTGAGACACACGCAGAACGCGAGGAAATACAACAACATTTTGGTGAAGCGACACATGGTGCGGGATGTCTTTCAAAGTTGGCTCTGAAAGCTATGCCAGGGCATGCTTGTACGAATTTTAATTTGAAATTTGAATTCAAACAGCTGTCTATCGCTATCGTAGGCTATCACAAAAAGTACTATCGATGGTTTGGCATCTCTACCACTTGCTATTCAATATATTCCGGGCTTAAGTGGGCTAATTTCGTTTTTTCCTCGGTATATTTACGGTTTATTTCAGTATATTTCTGAGAGTCAGTCACACTGCAAAACACACTGAACCCCGCGAAAGAATTTCAAATAGAACTGAATGTTTGAATGTTTTGAAAAAAAATCGATACTATCGTAATAGTATCGGGCTCAAATAATAATTAAAAAACCATTGATACCTTTTAGGAACTTGTCCATTTTAAAAATTAGATGCCCCCTGTCGATTTGTTTTCAAATTTGTCTTCGTATTTTATAGCAGCCAATCCAAACATATTAAAAGCGCAACGACTGTAGCTCGATACTATCATGATTGTCGCAAAACCTTCGATAGTAGAGGCTAGCAGCAAAATATCGATACTATCGATAGTGCCCTCTTTGGTTTGACACCTCTAATGGCCGAAAATTGCGAAAATGAGCAAAAATATTGTTGCAGCTCCACTGAATCGCATTCCCGGCACCAGCCAGGCCAAGGAGAAGCACACCAAGGACCTGAAAACCCTCAGCTATGTGGAATTACTGGAAATCAAAGACAGACAATCAAAATTTCTGTCGTTCAAGTAAGTGCTGCAACGATCTGTGGCGGATTTCACATATAAACAAACTATCTATTGTTGCTCCAGGAAGCGGCTGCTGCAATTGCCGGACAAAGGCATACGCCTTCAGGAGTCCTACGATAAGCTGCTGGACGAGATTAGGAAGCGCGACGATGTCGAGGCCACTGCCCAAATGCTCAGCGAACTGAATATCGCGTCCAAGGGAAAGATTGCGCTGAACAATCTGGAATGGAATGGCCGCGAGATTGTGGATGAGGGGGCGCATGTGGAGGATATACTGGACAGCGATGATGAGCTGGAAATGGACCCGTTGCGGATCATAGCGCAGGGCACAATGCATGAGAAGAGGGTCAAGGTGCTGCCTCCACCACAGAGTCTTATAACGGCTGGAGATCTGGCCGACATAGACACGTTCAAGAAGACTGCCGACTCGCCAGACTCTGCGTTGGATGGCCAGAGCACGACCAGTTCGATACCCGCGGAGTTCATCGAGATTGATGCCTGCCTGGTGGCAGCCAAGTATCCGCCAGAGGCGCATTCCTATCCCCCCGTCGATCAGCATTCCCTCTACCTCATAGACAAAACCGAACCCAAGGACAGGGGTGCTGTGCGGGAGAAATACATGCCGTTCCGCACAACCATCTCCAATGTGCACGATCCCGATAAGGAGCGCATACGGAAGAAGGGCAAGCACTGGGAGATCACTGCAGCCACCCCGCCACTCATCCAGCACAAGGAAGTGCAGATGGTTCCGCTGGCGGAGTCAGCGACCCTGCAGCTGGACTTTATGCAGCGGATCAGAGAGCTGAGGATTCAGCAGGCAGAGCAGCGTCTGGCACAGCAGCAGTCGTCGTCCAGGGCAGCAGCCTCGGGACTCCAGCTGCCGGAGGAGTCTGTTCTGAAGACCAAAGCATCGTTCAGAAATTATCGCAATCCCCAAGTGGATTATTTGATTGAGGGCAGGCAAAAGCCCAGCGAACAAAATGAAGTGCATGATCCAACGAGTCTCGACAGCGCAGCAGCCACAAGTGGCATTCATTACACGGTCTACGAGTGACGCCTTCCTGCCATTTCCTCCTGGCCTCCTGGCTTCTCGTTAACATTGCAAATTATTTAATTGTGTAGGCAACAACAGATAGCAGATAAGATTACATGCGATTATAGCTCCCATTTAAATCGAATAGAACTGTGTGGCGGTGGAGGCCTGCAGCTCGATCTGGCCCATCTTGAACTGCAATCGCTGCAGCCACTTGAGCAGCGCCTCCGACCTGAAGGCCTGCTGCTCCTCGTAGTCCGGCGCACAGTCGCGCACATTCTGCAGTCGCACATGAAGCGTGTCGGAGAGCTGCGTCTGCGAGGAGAGCACGGGGCTCCACATGGGCAGCAGCTTGCCCAGCACCGTGGAGTTTGTGTCCTTGAGGGCCTCCAGCAGGCTAAGGAAGTGCAGATTGACCATTTCGGATAGCTTGGAGTTGGCACTTTGCGTCTGAAAGTCAACGCTGGACTGTGGCTGATCCTTGTTGATGGCGGGCTTGGCGTGGGACACCAGCTGCAGGATGCAGGGCGTTACCTTGGCCCAGAATTCGAAGAGCACGCCCAGCGTGCCGCCCTCCACATTGCTGCTGGTGTTGTGGGCCATCTGCTCCAGATACACGGTCCACAGCTGGCACAGGGTGAACGCATGGAAGAGCGAGGACATGTGCAGCACCGAGGTCTTCGATTGCTCGGCAAAGCCAGCGAATATCACCTGAATGTGATCGGCTATGTGGCAGGAGGCTTCCTGCGGCACCGGCTGCGAGTAGGTCACGCCCTGATGTTGATAGTGGACGCTGGCTGCGGGTGCTTGGCCCTGGCCGGGCGGAGGATTCGGCGGAGGCGTCGGAATGGTGTGCGTCTCCTGGCGACGCTGCATCAGCACCATGTGGGTCAGCGAGCCCAGCAGCAGCCAAGAGAGCAGACGCATATGACCCACGCATTCGGTGAATTCCTTGGGACTGCAAGAAAAGGATTTCCCATTGAGAATTGTGCATTTCCATTGGCTGCTTCAACACTTACCCCTGCTGCAGGGAGGAGGGTGCATTGTTTAGCCACGGCAGATACCGGGCGACGGCTTTGTTGTCTCTGGAGTTTCCTCGCGACATCTCTAGAGCCAGATACTGTGCCACGGCTCCTTTGAGCACGCCCCCCAGGGTGTCCTCGCCCAGGCCGTTGCTCGTTTGTCCGTTCTTGATCTTGCTGAGCGTGTGGAAATCGGCCAGAAAGTCAATCACATCGTTGATGTACTGCCGCAGGCAATCGGCGGAGTTGGTGGTCAGCATGGGAGCCGCTTCGGGCATGCCGGGAGCAGAACCCGGCGGCAATGTGCCACCAGCATCGAGCAGAACGAACCCAATGATCACGAGGAGATTGTGATCGGGGATATTCGACTTGAACTTGAGGGCCTGCACAAACTCGAAGATCATCTGGCGGCAGAGCAGGTTCTTGTCGCGATCCTTGCTGAAGGAGCGCGTGTTGAGGGTGCACAGCTCGTAGATGGTCTGGTACTCGAGGTTCGTGTGCTGCACGCAGTAGGCCATGATCTTCGAGTAGGGATCGAGCAGCGTCTTGGGCACGCAGTTGAGGCGCAGCGTGGCCGCGATTATGTCCAGCATGTACTCGGCGTTGCTCAGGCTCGGCATGATCACAATCACCTGCCGCAGCAAGGACTCCATGGCCTGCATGGCCTGCGACCACATGGCCAGGCCCACGCCCGCTTCGGCGGGCACACACTGCAGATTCAGATACTCGGCCATGTTGCGGAATATCACCGGCAGCTGATCCACGGGCAGAGCCTTCTTGGAGGTCAGAGACTCGCACACCATGTAGATGGGACTGGTGGCATTCAGATCCTGGAAGTCCTGCAGTGCCTTGGCTATGCTGCGGAAATGATTGTGTCGAATTTTCACTGCAAAGGCAAAGGGAATGGGAATGGGAAACGTTATGCGCTGCACAGAGGCTGCTGGGGATCAAATTCGACTCACTTTTCATTTGGGTCTGAAACACCTGCAGGAAGATGCCATTGGGCGCCAGCTGATGGAGCACACAGCGGATGAACTGCAGGGCCACTGCCTGTGCGCTGCACGCCAAAGGCAGACCGTTCTCACCCTGCCACGAGTGGGTGGAGCTGAGACAGATGCTGCAATGGAAGGTGTAACCATAAAGCAGGAAATCATTGGGCTATGAGAGCTGAGGGCTCTCTCTTACCGCGAAGTCATGGTGAGAATCTCTGGCAGAAAGGGCGCTGCAATGGCCGGTTCGCGGTGTATAAAGGTGCCCAGAATCACGATGAATATGCCAATCTCCTCGTCTGTGTACTCCTCGATGTGGGCACCGCAATCCGAGCAACGCTCCACGATGGTGTAGTCGCCCACGCGACGTGCGCTCTACGGCGAAGGAAATGATTAGCATACAGAATCTGATAGTCTGTTAGAGACCTACCCCACGTGGCACATGTGCTGCACCATGCGAGGTTCCATGTCCATTGGTCGCCTCGCCCACACCATCCTCGCCCTCATCGTCTGGATCGGGTTCTGCCGGCTGGAAGGGAGGCGGTGGCCAGGAGCCCGCAAAGCGCGAACGTATGTCCGGTATGGCATTGGTGTCGACGTTGAAGGGCGCCAGCTTCTGTCGCGGCCGCTTGATGCTGTTGCTGGCAGTCAGGCCTCCCCCGGCTGCGCCTCCAGCGCCTCCAACTACCGCGCCCTGCTTCAGCTCCTGCTGGACATTCTTCAGAATGGAAGTGTGCAGATCGGCTGGCGGCTGTGTGGGCTGCTGGGAAGTGGACGGGGCATTGGGATTCGGCGGCGATTCCAGGGCCACCTGCTTGATGAGCCGACGGGGCGAATTGGTGCGGCTGCTTGGCGTCACATCGTCCTTGGTGCTCTCCGAGACATCCAGGCTGTCCTGCTTGAGGTGGCTGATGTCTGGCAGATTCAGCCCCTCCCGCATACGCTCCACCAAAGCTGCCACCGTATCCTGGGTGCCAATGGGCAGCAGTCGCTCCGGAGTGGGGATCTCCAAGGCGGCAATGTTCTTTGGCGGCGGCAGGCCCTGCATGGCGGCATCCATCTCGTCCCTGGGATTCGGCATGACGCTCATCTTGGACAGCGGTGAGTCCGGGGAGCCGTAGTTCTTGTCCGTGCGCTTCAGGGACTTTGTCTGCGACTTCTTCTGGTGACGGGAATCGTCCATCGAGGATGATGTCGATGTTCCGGCACTGCACTCCACAATCGTCTTGTGTCGCCCAATGGACTTTGCTGGCGCTGCAGATGGAGCGGGAGCAGCAGAAGCAGCAGCAGCCGCATTCCCATTGCCATTGGCCGAGCGACTGCCACTGCCACTGCTGGAGCCGGGCTTCCTGTCCGCTGTGCCGGGCACATCCTGCAGGGCACCCAATGCCTTCAGATGGTTGGTGGCAATGGCAGCAAACATTTTCGATGTGGAAGCGGCTGCATTCTCCAGCGATTTATTGCGCACCGTCACCGCACGATGCACATCCACGGGGGGACTCACAATGGCCGTCTCTGTGGTCTCTGCACCCACCAGGGGCGTGACAATCATGCGCACACCCTCCTGCAGACTGTGCCGTGTGGAGTGGGTCGTCACGAGGGTCTCGCTGGTGGTTGTGGCCTTGATTTTGGTGGTGTACGTGTCACCCACTTTGGTGGTGATCATCGACTTGTGCGACTTGGTGGATTTCTACAAGGGAAAATGCATTAAATATGGAAATCGCAGGAGCTGAGAGCATGCATCCGTACCTCCTCGGTGTACTCCAGACGCTTGCGCGTGGGCATCACATCCTCGAAGTGAATGGCGTCATCGAAGGAGCCCTGCAATGGAAATCGATTCTACTTTAGCTCACAGTATTCACGGCTATTTGGGGAAACCCACCGGTGCACTGCTGCCGTGCAGGGTGCTGTCCGATAGATCGCTCTCTGGTATGGCCACCAGCTCCGACTCGGTCTCATCCGCATCCAGGCTGGAGTCATTGTACTTCCTGAACGCGTGCTGCAGCTTGGGGGTAAAGGCCACGTTGCCCTTGCTCTTGGAGGCGGCACTGGTGGCCTCCGATGGGAACATGGGACTGACTGGCGGACTGGCCTCCTTGTCATCCGGATCGGTGCCCAGCGAGGGCTGGCTGACATCCCGCGAGCGAGCGGCACCGCCCACACCCTGTATATCCAGTATGGTGGTCGTCGGGATCCGCCTGCACTGATGGAAATGGCCGCGCAGGCTGTTCATGATCATGCGAATGCCCGAGATGATGTAGCCGCTGAGCGGTGGCTGGGTGTACGAGTACTTGTAGAGTGCCACGAGCATGGTGAAGAGCCAGTTGCGGCGCGGATACTGCTCCAGGTGCCACAGGGAGTAGTTGAAGACAATGTTCTGATACGATTCGCCCGAGGTGTTGGTCGGATAGGGGGCATACAAGATGATCTGCATGACGGAGGGCAGAATGAGGCCGCCAATCAGATGATTCTGATCCAACACCTGCGGCAGATTGGCCAGAAACGCATTGAACACAGCCGACACCCTAGAGGGAAGATGAAATTATAATTCTGTATCCAGGGATTCCCTTTTGGCACTCACCTCAGGGACTCTGGCGTGGTGTGGAATGTCTTGTCGATCTGATTGTGTCCCAGCAGCAAGAACAAATGTTTCAGCACGATATTCTGTGTCCTGGTCACCGGCTTGTCCTCCGAGGGAAAGGCCTGATCTGTGCGGGACATGAACTGCATCAGCATAAAGACCAGCAGATGGATGGTCTCGCGATCCGACTCCTCCAGCTCGGTGATGCGACTGAGCAGCCCAATCAGATTCTCATCGTTGAGGCCGCCCAGCGAGTGGATGTGTCCGTCTGTTTGGGGCGTGGATATGAAGTGGATAATTATATGTATATTCACTTTAGTTGTCAACTTTCTTTAGTGGGTGGAGTAGGGGGGATAAAACACCAATATTCTTTTTTGATTTTTTTTTTTTTTTTTTTTGGGGACACAGCCACATGCCAATGGGGGGAGGGTTCACAATTAGATTCGTTTTCATAGACGGATAAATTAATTTAGTTTTGTTTGTGTCTTTGTAGTTATATACAGGAGGAGGAATATGTCTCTGTTGTGGGTCTGGGATTGGGATAACTCAAAGCCAATTAGAGAG